GACGTCTGGCTTTCTTGCTGCAGCTCGTCCTGTCAAACCTGCACCTCGAAGTCTTCACAGTAGAAACTGAGACTTGCTCACTACGGCCACCATTAAGCTGCTTGAAGCTGTTGTCCTGTGAGCCGCCATCACACAGCTGTAAACTTGTCCTCTGATTCAGTCGTGTCTTTGGGACCAGACCTCTTCCTGTTCTGAGCCTTTGATGGTGAAGGAAACTGTGCTCACTGACACTGTGACTTTCTTCATGGTCTCTCTGTAGCACAGACCTACATTTATAAGTGTTATGATGGTCTGTCTCTCTTCTATCGTTAATCGGCTTTTTCTCACCATTTCTGTAGCATCACTCTACTTTCTGCAGTGCAGTACTGTTCAGCTGATGCTCACGAGGGTATGGCACCACAGTGTGCTCCAACACTGCCTCTATCCAGACAGAGGGGGCTGTAAGTAATCCACAAACGTTGGAACAGCTGTAGGAGTCAGCAGCACCATCTTTCAAGGCTTGATCAACCTCCACTGCTGCAGAACAGCTTTAAATTGTTAATCTACGTTGTTCCCTGACAAAGGCCTTTTTGTATAATTATAAATGTACATTATTACAGTTTTGGGTAACCTTACCTTTTTTTAACCTCTGACAGTTCACCACGAACGGCTTGAATTGCAATAAATAACTGCAAACATTGGGGTGTTATAAAGCTTATGAACAATCGTGTACATGTAAATCACTTTGAGTGATCAGTACGATTATCTTCATCATTGTTGTTATCAGATAATTACAGGAAAGTCGTTTAAAGGTTCTTTACAGGTACCAAATTTGGCAAATAGTCTTTGCGATTGCTTTTTTGATAAAGAATATAATTAGAAAATATGTTTCTCATATTACATTTAAAAATATATTTTTTCCAAATAATTCGTCAACTAAGTTTGAGTTTTTCTCTTAGTGTCAAATCTTGGAGGAGTTGACTTCAGTCCTGTTTGTCTGTTTTTAAAATCTAAATCATGCAAATCAACAGAAAAACCTCTGAAACATGTCCAGTAGTTGAAATTCGGCAATAAACCGAGTTGTTGTTTCTTCAGATGAAAATGTGCCCAGTTTGGAAATTTGGCCAATTCAACTGGTTATCAGGCTGTTTTAAAACGAATGTCGTAAGAACACAAGGTGTCCGTACCAAACACAGACAACAAAGCCTGAACTCTCTTATTCTGGCTTTGTTGTCTGTAAGGAGGAGTCGCCCTGTTGCTTTGACTATAATATGTGACTGTGTATGCTGAGCAAATATACACAAGCATTGGTAGGTGTGTGCACGCTCACATTATCTTGGATTTTAAGTGCAAATAAATGTAACTTTCCTCATTGGAAGCAGTGAAGGAGGTTTTCCATGAAAAAGAAACTGTGGTCATCTGCCACTGGTGTTTTTCCTGTGGGTGTGCCGTTCCCACCACTGTGTTTCTGTTTGTCAGAATTGTTTCTTTAGCTGGTCTTAATTTTCTCACTATTATTCTGATTTCAGCCGACGCGACTGGTTTCCCTTGCACTGAGAGCTCCTCTGAGAGCATGCACCTGCAGCTCTTTAACGTTTCTCTTTCTAATGTAAAAATCGACACGCTGACAAACTGTTTCGTTGTTCTTGGAACAGTGACAATAAAGATCTATTCTATAGAATGTAAATGCCACACTTTGAATCGTCTTCAGACTCTATACTTGTGTCATGGTGAACACACAGGCTATACAGCTCTTTTCTTTTTTTTTTTTTT